TAATAATATAAATATAAAAATAATACTAAAATATTAATAAATACAACTAATAAAAATATAATATAAATTATGCTAAAATCTATTCTATAACAGTAGTAAGAATAGCTCTAAATATATTATCATGAAAAGTATAAGTAAATAGCATTTAAATTTAAATAAAGTATCTAAGAAAGAAAAAGATATAGCAGAGTTGAGATTCCTATTATCATTATATATAAGATGTCTCATATATAATAGAATAGAGTTTGACAATATTTAAGATAGTGTTTAAGTAGAGATAGCAAATAAAGAGGAAACAATTATACAAAAAGTAATAATGAAGAAAAGCATTTAGGCAGAGCTTATAGCTATCACAAGAAAACTTAAAAGAAATAAAGAGTTGAATATATATATAAATAATTCATTTAAAATAGAAAAGCAGGTAGTGTGAAAAGTAACAAAATGAGAATAAGTTGGATATTAGCTCAAGAAGATACAAATATAATAGATAATATTAGTTTTAGTTGTAGTCTAGCAAACTAGCCTTCCTCAACTTATGCAGAGCTTAATACAATCTGAACAGCAACTTTAGCAACTCTATACAACTCTAACCTAAACATTTTCTTAGATAATAAGATAGCAATAGAAGGTTTTCAGAAAGATAGACTAGCTAGAAATATAAGAGAGATTTTTAAATCTAAGAATCGTAGTTCAATATATCAAATTCAGAATTGCTATAAGGCTAAGAGTATAAGTCTTAACTTCATTAAAGTTAAAAGATATAGTAACAATATATGGAATAACAAAGCAAATTCTCTAGCAAAGGATGGCTTAAACTCAAACAGATTTATTACAATAGAGAATGTAAATTCAGATAATCTAAGAGTATTACCAAAATAAAAAGACAAACTTATTGATTACTTAATAAGATCCTTTATTAATATTATAATAGTAATAGTATATGAAACAGAATGAGCAGAATTAAGTAACTCAAAAGATATAATCAATATCAGATCTGAAAACAGTATAGTTGAGGATATAAACTAGAAAAGCATATAGAGTACATTTAACAACTATTAGAGCAGAAGATATATAAGCTTTAAAAAAAGCAAAGCTTTTTTGTTTAGAATAAAGTATCTGAATAAGATACTGCTAACATATGATATCTGCTTTCAATGAAGACCTTATCTATACAGAAGTAAAACCTGTATAGTATACTATGTAACTAAAAAAACATTTAAACATCTTGCAGAATGTGTAATATACCAAAGAATTTAAGAATGTATAGAAGAAATAATTATAAAGGAAGTAAAATGCAAAATCTCAGAGAAATAGAATATCTCAATATCAAGTAGAAAGCTAGCTAGAATCTTTTTCACAATTGAACCAGAAGACAAAGTTCAAAGAAAAAAACTGTATCTTCAAGAACTAACATATAAAAAAAGAATTAAAGAAGTTAAGAAACTAGTAGAGTCAAGTTCTAAAGCAAATCAAATTGTTAGCTAGTTTATAGACTTTTTCTGATTAAACTTTTATGAAAGACTTTGAAATTTCATTACAAGTTATAGCTAACTGAGAAAAAGAAAAAATAATTAGCCAAAGAAAGAAAAAATGAAAAATGAAAAAATGAAACAGAAGTCAAGTTGCGAATAAAAAAAACAACTGAGATCTAAGTGAAAGAGAAAAAAATCATAACTTAATAAGGAAAAAAGGATCCTAAAAGAAGCAAGAAATAAGAACACAAACTAGATCGAAAAAAGAAAGTGTGAAAAATGATTAAAGTTCAAAAATAAGTAAGCAAATATTCTTGATATAGGCTAGGAACAGCTTTCTTTTAATCGAACCAAAAAAAACATATATTAGTATGTATTTTGTTTTAGGAGAAAAATTTGCTGTTATAACAGATCATATTTGGGCACCAAATAGACAGCCAAGTGAGTTCGAATTTGCAAAAAAAGAGTAGTCTTAAAATTAGAAAAGTCTTAAAATAGTTTTAATTTTTTGTATTTGTCTTATTACTAGTTTAGTAATTCTCTTAATAAAATGAAGAACAAGATTGTCTAAATATAAAAAAAAAAGTAATCTATAAACAATATTAATTATAATAATAATATTAAAAAAAACAAAATTTATTATATATTAGATTTAAAATTTTTTTTATTAAATACAATTAATTCTCTTTAAATACAAACCTTCAAGTATAACTTTTAATAAAGTTTTTATTAAATACAAGTTAACTTTTGGTTCTAGCTATATAAAAATATAAAGATTGTATTTTTTCTAAATACAAAATCTTTAAATACAGATTTTTGAAATTTTTTCTGAGTAGTTGTACTAAAGAAATACTAACTATATAAAAAAAATACAAAATATTACTTTTTAATTTAAAATTTATCAAATTTATTTATAATTAAAATTATTAACTTTGGTTTGCTAAATTACAAAAAAACTACAAAGTATAGTAAAAATATAATATTTATAAAAAGAAGTTTTGAAACTAGATGTTACGTATCAGAATATAAAAATAATTTTAATTCAACTTTCTAATTAAAATCGACCAGAATTTGTAAAATTTTATTACAAATTTTTAAATTTTCTTACTATAAAACTTTTATACAAAACAATTTATCTAAATTCTCTTCAATTTATTTTGAATTTAATATCTAAATTCTTCTCAACTTTGGATTTATTACCTATATTTAACTAATTATTATAAAATATTTTAAAAAGTTGAATATAGTAATGAATTAAAACCCAGGAATTAGAATTGCGCAATCTCTCACCAAAACTAATCAGTTAGTCTAACTACTTCACTTTTCAAATACTGGATGTATATTTACAAATCTTAACAATTCTATATCAGATATATAATCCACGATTAATATATATTATTTTTTAATAATTACTAAAATAATGTCTTAAAAATCATTTTGATAATGACTAAGAGAGGACGCAATATTAGCAATTAACACAATTCGAATCCAATGGGAAAAATTTTGTTACTTTTATTTTTTTATACAAGCTCGAAAGCAGGAACCTTACAAGTGAGTAAAACGACTTAAAAAGGGGACACAAAACAAACAAACAGAAGAGAACATTGAATTATACCTACTATTATTAGGGACATATAATTCTCTTAAAAATATTCATGTGTTGTTACATCGCGATAAAGAGGAAGAAAGAATATGGGATAATAAGATTGAAGCCGTACAGCGAATGCTGCATCAACTTGCTTAATACTTGACCGCAATTCTGATCTGAAGTGAGAAAAGAAATTACAAGTCATACTCACTAGATCTCAAATCTCCTCGTGAAACATTGAAAAGAGCATAAAAATTCCAATGCGAATAAAAAAAACAGAATTAAAAACCTCCCTTTGAGCTCATCATCACGTGCGTTAAATTTCTCTTCCTATTATTAATTTGAATAATTTGTTGATTATTAAAAATAAATAAATAAATAAATAATAATAATAATAATAATAATAATAATAATTATAATAATAATAATAATATATATAATTTAAACTTAAACTAACAAACTGGTATTTTTGGTTCTCATAACACAAAATGACCCGGTAACCCGGCTTTTAATTTTATTTTCAAAAAATTTTATATATAAAAAAAAACATATAAAATTTTTTTACGATAGTAAATATAGTTAAAAATTTCTTCAAATATTTGCAAAATTTGACCCGGCAGGTTAATGAGAACCAAGAATACCAGTTTGTATAGCCTAAACAAAAAACTTATTACACCCCATATTAGTAAATGTAAACTTACATTATCACGAATGGCTCAAATGTTATTAGGTCGTAAGGGCCTTGTCGGGCCCAGTTCCTCCTTCACCTGCATTATTGACCCCATCGCCACCGTTAGCATTTACAGTATTTAATTTTGGCCGCCTCCGTGTACGCCTCTCATCACCATAATATAGCCGATATTCACAAAACATACAAATCCAATCACCATTTTTTTCAGGAAATCTGATTTTACGTCTTGGAGCGTTATTATTAACAGATTGAATGTCCACTGAACCAGAGGTTGATGATGTGTCATCTGTCTGCTGGTGCTGATGATGATGTTGGTGCGAGTGGTGTTGATGCTGATGCTGGTGCTGATGATGAGTATGCTGATTTGGAGCATTTTGACTATTATTAACAGTCAATTGAGCTTTTTTCTTATTCTTTTTGCGACCAGCATTTGGTATTCTTTTTGGAGTTGCTGGTGGAGGTGGTGGCAGCGGCGGTAACAATGCTTTGGATCTTATTGCCGTCTGAGGGCGGACATGATTGTTATTATTTACGCCTTCGTCATTTTTGAATGCAGCAGATGATGGTGCCGCACGTTTTGTTGATGCTTTCTTCTTTGAGCCACCAGATACAGAAATAGTTGTCACTGTGGGCGATTGTTGAAGAAATAATGATGATGCGAGAGGATCATTCTTAGTATTCATTGTTTGAATCGGTGAAACAGCGGCCAGTCGTTTTGCACTAGAAGCATTAACGCTTGCTGCAGCTAATGCTGCAGACTTTTCGGGAATTGATTTAAATGAAAAATCGAATGTTGTTTGTGGAGGGCGTACACTATCAATATTCTTATCAGAAACTTTATAATCAAATGGAGACACCAGATCACTACCTAATGAAGTCTTATTCATAATATTTATATTACGTTGAGTTGAGCGTCTTTCCACTCTTCTAAGTGGATTTGCTCGTTCTTTGGCTGTTGAAGTCTTCATAACTCCGCCAACACTATTACTCGTCGTTGAACCTCCTCCTACGGTTTGTAAAGCCTTTCTTTTCTTTTTGTTATTAGCATTGTCCAACCAATCAGTATGCCCGTTATCATTACTGCCATCTTCTTCCTCAGCATCAAAATCTTCTTCTTCGGAATTCGTTGGAGTCGCGAATGAAAATAAAGGAGATGGTGGTATAACAGGTAAAGGTTGTGTTGGTGCTGTAACAATAATCTCATTCCTCCCATTAAACACAACGTTACCAATTGTATCATTTTTGCCAATAATAATATTACTATTGCTATTATCGTCAGCGAGAATTCCATTAGGTGATAGACGAGATTTAGCCCGCGATGGTAATTTTCGAATAGGCCTGAAAAAAGGAAATGTATTCGTCGCATTGTGTGCAAATCCTCTTGGGGGTGAAGTCTGTATTGTGGGTGGATTTGCAGTATTATTAAGGTTGCTCGTTATTCCTTTGGCCGTCGACGAAGTTGTTGATACTAGGGTGTTATTAATTTCTCCAAATTTCATGGGCAATTTTTTAGGTGCCGATGAAACCAACAAAGATGTTTGAATATTTCCATTTATGTTATTATTACTATCAACGCTCTTTGTCTGTTGCTTGGCTGACACATACAATGTTGTGGTTCTACCATTACGTTCATTGGAATGTAATCCTTTCCTCGATGATGACGCAGGTGATATGGTTGGTTTTTTTGTAGATGGGCTCAGTGGTGGCGTTGAAGGATGGACTAATGGTGGAGGCATACTAGATGATTGAGGTTCGGAAATTGCATTTTTGGAATTCATGTCAAATTTAAAAGATCCAGTAAATTGTGGAAACAATAAGTTAGGATTTGAGAAGTGCGTATCAGTTGGAGATGTGGTATTTATCGACGGAGGCCATATAGAACTAGATTGCATTGATATGGAAGGTGTTTTTGACGAAAGTTGAGGTGAAAACTTGTCAAGAACCGGTAGAACTGGTGGATGCCATTGGAGTGTTACGCGCCGTTGCTCTTTTTGATGTGATATGTTTGAGGGTGCATTGGAAGAAATGGAAGGATTTTGAAAAGGATTTTGTAATGATAACTCAGAAGGATTTCCAAAGGAAAATGAAGGTGGCGATGAGGTAGCAGGTGGGTTTGAAAAATTCGGTAGAAAGAAATTTTTATCCGCAATATTAGGAAATGTGAATTTGGATGGAAAAGGGGAATCTATCATGCCAGACAAGATTAACAAATTGTTCTTTTTGTTAATACTTTTGCTCGGTTCAGAGGACTCACCATTTTTCTCATGGTTTAATGAATCGCCTTTAAATTTTGAAGAAGAATTTTCTCCTTTTCCGTTTGTGACCACGGCTGGTGACTCCAATTCCTCGAGTAAATCCTGACTAGGTTTATTTGCTAACATCTCTCGCAAGACATCTTCAGCAATGGCTGGTGGTATTGTATAT